TGTAAATGTTGATTCATAATTATACATCGGTAATTTGAAAGCGGTCTCCCAATTGGAATGCTTCCAGCATTAGCTTTAACATGAATAAGGTGAAGTGTACAGGCGATTGTTATTTCCGCCGGACCGTAGTAATTCCATACATTATACTCACACAGACGGGTCTGTGCTATGAGATGACTCAGTTTAACAGAGAATGGTTCGCCTGTAAAGAGAGATAAAGCAGAACAATATGCTAAAGTTCATCCGTAAGCTACATACCACCACTGCAAAGTGATCGAAAATATTTTGAAGTGGTTGTCTTGCTAGATTGTGCGATAAATGTGAAAAACCTTTGAATTAAACTTGGAACCATAAACATATATGTAATTTGTTTCATCTGCACGATATTGGAGAGATAGTCAAAATCGATTGTTCCCCGTGGATGAACCATAATCAATGTAGCTCCATTCATCAAAGTGCCAAGTATTTCTTGAACATGAATGTCAAATGAGCATCGTCCGATCTGAACTGCAGTATCATTTTTGTTGAATACGTCGATCCTGACCAATGAGTTCATAAAATGAATGAAATTTTCATGGCGTGCTTGAATCTGTTAGAATATACAATAATGAAAACTGAGGTAGAAATGCAAATGTCAACATACCGCTTTTGGTATTCCAGTTGAACCACTTGTGAAAATGATATAAGCAATATTATTAGGTGTGACTGTAATACTTGATAGTCGGTGAACATTAACATCGCACATTACATCATTATTAAACAATATTGATTGAATATCAATCAAAAGAATATCATTATTAAATTTCATTTTCGTCAACCAATGAACAAGAACAAGATGGCTTTGTGCTTGTTCTGTGAGTGCATGTAAACGATGTTGTGGATCTCGAGGTGATAATGGGCAATATACACCACCAATCATTTCAATCGCCATTATACCAATAACCTATACAATATGAAAACTTTAATCACACTAAACATTAATGTCAAAGAATAACTCACCATCGACAAACTTCTCTCAACACATTGACAAATAATTTCACCTGGAACAACATGACACTTGTTAATCAAATGCAAAGATAATATTTGTACATAATGTAGAAGTTCAGCATATGTCATGGATTGTTCATCAAGTTCAACAGCTAGTTTTTGTGGATGTTTCATCACTTGACACACAAATTCATGATGAATACAAGTGATAGAAGATGGAAATGATATTTGTGTATTATTCATTGATTGCATTAGATACTGTTCATTTGATAATGTTAATGATATTTCATAGATGGATTTATTCATTTGATCATCAAC